AAAACAACACCCAAGGAACCCAAAGCAGACCCTTCTGGCACTCAAGTGAAGGAAAATCCTGAGCCTACATCTTCTATAAAGATAAAGACAGCAGATGTCAGTGATGTTGATGACCTTAACAGCTGCATCTCCATTCTCATCTTCTGCCTAATCCTCTCCCAACACCTCCTTCAACCAAGCAAAATAAGCACAATACACAATATAAGAACATAAAAATTAAAGGTTATGGTAAAATCTTTTTAAAATGCTGTTTAATATTTTGTAATTTTTTTTATACTAAAAATGGTTTTCTGTTTGAGTCATTGCTTAAAAATGTCATAAGTATGTTTTCTATTAAAAAGGAAAATGTTTTAAAGTGTACAGGGCTGCTTCAAAATGTTCATAAAAATGGATTTCAATGAAGTGTTTGGTAAATATAAATGCTGTTTAAAGGCCTTTGAATTTGGAATTAGTTATAAATATGTGTACATTATGTGTTGTATAGTATAGTACAGGTACTGTACATGTACAGTACATTTTTGGTTGCTAGGTATAAAACACAACATTTTATCAAGTTATGGTCCCTATTCAATACCATGTTTCATTGTTTCTTATAGGAGAAATTGCTCCACTTTGCATTGCATAAGCAATGTTTATGCTCTTACAGTCCCTATCCCCCCCATTTCACATTATTCTTGTGGGGGAAAATTCCCCATTATACATCATTTTGTTATCAGTTGCAACTTTCTGGTCCCTAACTCTGATGTATAACAAAAAACCCTGTATAATAAAAATGTTTCATGAGGCACACGCATGCAGCTCAGAAAATAATAGATAAAATATAAAGTTTTACTGAAAACAAACATTTGAAATGTATTTAGGAGTTTTTAGAGATTACACAAATGATATTTTAGATTTTTGAGAAAAAGAAAAGTATTTTTAAATTTAACATGAAAATCACTTTGTACACAGACTCATCAAAACATAATACTCAATATATTCATGGACAAATCTTTTTTTAGTTTATTAAAAATACTTCACTAAAATATGATTTTTTGTATGTGAACGTTTTATAATGTTTACTGAAAGTCTACCAAGTTTGTGAAAATACACATACTGCATTGAAAGTTATAGTATAAATACTTAATGTGTGAAAATGTAAATAAGAGAACTCAGTATTTTATACTGAGCCCATCACAAAAGGGTTAAGAAGCTGACATTTGTTGTGAATTGGATTCTTAGTTTCTTAACAAACCTAAAGGTCACCAAACTTAATCGAATACGAAGTGGTTCACATAAAATTTCATTGTTTTGTCTTTATTTGAATGCAAAGGACCCAGTACAAAAAAAAAATTCTTTGAACAATTCTAGGGAGATACAAAATAGTTTAAGCTTCATGTAACATATAAATGTAACATACTTTTTTCTCTTATCTTCTATTTCCTGCTGTAGGACAACAGTATCATTTCGAAAACTGTGAACCTTGCGAGCTGTATGAGAAGCCACATTTTTTAGGGCATCAATCTACAAGAAAAGTACATATTCTCAATACCCTGCTAAATGAAACACACAACAAAACAACTTACTTGTGATTATTCAAATAAAAAATAATGTTATCACGTAATTAAATTTCTACAGCTAAGGTGTGTACAAAAAAATAAAAAGATGATTATAGTTTACAAAGTACCGGTTTCTATGACACAATATTTGTATGTTAAATTGATATGCAAAATATTGATGTACAAAAATTGGAAATGCTAACATTAATAATTAAAAAACACATTGTTAGTTAGCAATATTTCATTCTGTTCATTTCTCTAGTTTGTAAGTAATCAAAAACAAACTCATCAGACTTAAAATGTGTTGTAGACATACCTGCTCAAGAGATAAAGTTTATAGCACTGAAAAATGAAGTTTAAATTGATTATTCTAATAATAACATTAAACTACAATGTTTGATTTTTTTCTTTTGCAAATTAGAGTATTTTAGACTTGTTTAACACTAACCTTAAGAAAATATGTTTGAACTACTGTATATACATCAATGCATTTTCACTCTTCACTGGTGCATGAAACAAATTTAAGCTTTTATTTCATTGTGTATTTATCATTCAGAGTTAAAAATATCTCTTCTAAAGAAGTTGTGAAAGTCAAATGCTGAGCAAATTACAATATGTTTCTTAGTTTTTAGTTATTTAAAAACATCACAGTAGAAACCACTAAAAACCATCCATAACCCTAAATTATGAATTAATGATGATGATAATGATTTTCATAGTGTATTACCAAACTTTTCTATGAAAATCTCACAATATTCATATCTAATTCAAATCTATAAAACTGGTGTTCACTTTCAGTATTCATGGTTTCATGCTAAATTTAATATTTCTGTACTGACTATTACATCAACTTGATCAAATTCATTAATATCAATAAAACCAAAGTACTTATTGTTTATTTTTGGTAATTAATTTGCTTTTCTACAAATTCAAACATATCACAATAACCTGCTCAATACTGTACAGGTTTCTCACCAACTTTATTCTTGAAATTTAAGTGATTTGCGTAAAAGCTAAAGCTATTTAAAGTAAGAAAATGGGTTGTAGTTTCTACTAACAACAAACTATGTATGTGTTTTTTATAGACTGATATGCTATTGTATGGATTAAATTTGATTAAATGTTTTTGAATACCAAAATTGTTACTATTTTTTTAAATAAAACCAAACACTTATATTTAAGAGTAGATTACAAAAAATAATATTTGTTAGTCCTTTTTTAATGAGGAAACTTTGAAAGTATTATGCATTTTTTTCACATATACAAGTATACATACATATATATAGTCATATGCTTGAGAGGATGATGCTTATGAGCTTAATACAGGCATGTATGTCAGTAAGATGTCTTACAAAGTAAAAAACAGTCCTAAACTTTATGATGAATATTATGGTGTTGCAAATTTAAACTTTAGTCCTTATGAATCCTACATACATAGTAACTTTTATATATTAACCTCTACTGCAAGAGCCTTTTCTTTCTCTATAACAGCTGATTCTCCTCGCAACTTTTGCAGCTCAGATTCACCCAGTGTTATTCTTCTTTCTAATTCCCTATTGGTAGTATTTTCTTCTGACAACATCTCCTGTTTTTCACTTAATGCTTCTTGGAGTTTAGCTTCTTCTTCTTGAATGGTCTCTATTTGCTGTTCCAAATAAATAAATAATGAATTCAAGCCTTCACATACTACTTGAAAGGTGCAAAAGAATATTCCACTCATATGCTATACTTAATACTCCAAACAAAACATTTAATATTTTAAGTTAATTAAAAATAAACTACTAACAGCAGCAAATTGTAATTGAATTTAGGATACATACTACTGAAGACAGTCCACAGTAAAACGTAAACAATGAAAATATTAGAGACGTGGAACTTAAAAAAAAAACGCACATAAGATGAAAACTACAGTAAACATAAAAACATATTATAGAAAAAAAAGATATCTAAACTTCTTTCCTCTCTTATATTTTTTACACTTGTTATGCTTACTGAAGTATTTTCATTCCATATATCCATTGTATTTGAATTTTATATTTTTTTCATCTATGTTTAACTTCATATACAATCTAGACATGGACCTATTCAGTTTCTGTTCATATAAATATTAAAAATGTCAGGGTTTTCCAAATTGTACACTACCGAATAATTATTGTTGATAACTACTGAATAATAACTACTGAATTAGTTAATTTATAATTAGTTAATTTATAATTAACTAAATAATTTTTAAAAATTATACCAATATATATATTGGTGGATCAAACTGAATTCGAGCATAATTTAAACTTTAGATCTCTTAAAACATCTATCAATGAATGCCTATCTATGGTGCTGAACAGCAATGAAGGAATTAATTTCTCTGTTCATTTGTTGCTTGTTAAGTAGATCTAAGTTGATTTTTTTTTCTTCAAAAGGGTCTTAAATATCTTTATTTTCTTGTTCTCAACCCTTCAAATATCTGTGATTTGAAATAACATTTTTGCTCATCCAAATAACTTTCTTTTACTATCTAATTTTTATGTCATTAAATACTCAGAGCTGGATAAAGTAACTTATTTCTTCATACTATTAATAGAAATAGATTTACCTCGAAAAAGAACATTATGTGGGTAACAACAATAGTAACTTTAATACTAAAGTTTTCGGAATCAAAACTATTTTTAAAATATAATTCTGACCATAGTTCAAAGGTCTTGAATATTACATGTCTTTCATATATGAGATGGCTTCTGGTTAGTACAAATGTAGCCATTATACAATTATCAAAGAGAAGAATTCAAATGACCTTAGAAATATTTCGGATGTTCACATTACGGTGCTGCATTTGAATGACTGTTTGCTCCCATTGTTCAATGATACCTTGTCGTTCTTGATGGGCTCTTCTAAATTCTTCAGCCATATGATCTAACTGTATCTATAAATCAATAAGTATAAAATTCTTTAATAGAGCTTTGATCTTCAAACATTCAAGTACTAACTAAATATTTATTCAGTATAAATGGTTTGTATATAAATAAAATTGAGAGGTTTCATGCTAACCAACTAATAAGATTACGTTTGCAACACAATCATACTAGGATAAAAACAAGAAAAAAAAACAGATCATGAAGTTTTAGTATTTTTCTCCCACATTTATTCCAAAGTAACTTGCTATTTCTGTACTGACATTTTATACTTACAATTTGAAAATATTATTAAACAGCTTTCATGGTATTATTAACATAACCAGCATTCTTAAGCTACATGAATTGAGACTTATGAAGTTACTAGTAAATAAGGGCCTTGAATGCTTTTATATCAGTAAAGTTAAAATTAATTGACATTGGGCAGTATAGAAATTTATAAATATTATAGGGTAAATAAAAACCTTATAAATAGTTTGAAATAGTTACTACAAACTTAGAGGATTAAAATTATAGTATTTATAGAAATGAGCTGAAAAAATAAACTTTTTAACATTGCTCATCTTTTGAAGTGTGCCATCAATAACACCTGTTCTATAGAATCAGACAGAACAGCATACTGTATTATTTAAGAAATAAGGCAAAAAAAAATAATCTTACAAACCTCAACAACAGTTACATCTGTATTAGCTTCATAGAGTTCTTGTTTTTTCTTTTTCTCTTCTTCATTTAAACGTTGAAGTTGTAAATTAATAGCCTGAAAATAAGATACTTTTAAGTGTACTTTTCATCTACAATAAATTTAATACAATTCAATATTAAGCATATTAAACATAAATAATTCAGTATAATAGATGGAATGGACACAAGATACATATGTAATTTGAATTTTTAAGATTTAGGATACATTTTTTTTATGATATTCTAAGTTGTATATCTGTGTAAATGAACTTGCAAAGTTTAATGAAAACATGTCAAAAACTATCTAACAATACAAAGTTTCTAAAAATAAGAAACTATCTTAAGCAATATCCCTTCAGATGAAACATCTCAACATCTTGCTAAAATTTTTAACCAGCGCTGTTGTATTTGTTAATCAAAACACTGAAAATTCATATCTAAAATAACTGACAAATTTGAAATCCTAAGAAAAAATACACGCAAAAAAATTACACAATGTTTCTTGTGTCAAACTCCCAAATGTAGAATTCTTTAACCATCTAAGGCTATTGCTCCTCCATTTAATTATTTTATCCAAGATCAGCACTACACACTTTGCATGTATAAAATGGCATCTCTGTATCTGTTATTATACACATGGTTTAAAACAACTGCAGTAACCACAAAAAATAAAAGAGATTAAACAACAGGTCATAAGAATTATAATGTTTTTTTCACAACACATACAGAGCAAACAATGATAAGCAGTTTGTGTTTAATATACCATGTTTTGGATAAGATGTTTTCATGTGTAACTAAGCCTCTTCATCTGGATATTGGAATGTCTACAATATCACTGAATGATTCACATCAAGATTATAATTATTTGTTTTAAATATAATCGTAAGCCTTTCTAAAAGCTGAATATAGAGTTGTTCTAAAAATAGTACAATTCTTTATGAAGAGAACCAATTTGTCAGAATTACGTCTCTTAGCCAGAACTAAAGACACATCCTAAAGATCTCATTCCAACTCAAGAAATACCCAGTGCTCTTTCATCCAATAACAAGGTGATATTTTCTTTTTCTTACTCTTGATTTCTGATTCTACAATCTTTACACACTAACAAATACACCAAACTGTTACTGCTCTGAATGTGTTATTAGGTCCAGTAAAAACTCTATAATGAGTTTTCTTTTATCGATTAATAAGTTTTAAACCAACTGAATCACCACAAATCACAGGTAATGGATGTACAGAATTGATTCTTGTCTGTAAGTTACAGATTTATACTACAAATTCATGCAAGTAAGCATGACTATTTCATCAAAGGCATGTCTCTTTGTATGCCTATGTCCATTAAGATGATTTGAAGTTATAATTTTCCTACACTGAAAATATATTTCCGACAGGTACTTACATCTGTTCATATACATAGCTATTCTCTTTCAGTGCTGCCCTCTATTTGCAAAACTTTTTGCTCCTACCAAAAGCCTTTCAATCCCATGCATGTCTCAATTCACATGGTTTAACTGATTCTCACATGCAAATTATCATGCAACAAACCTCCAGCAGAAGTAGTGCCACATACATGACTCCCTCTAAGCTATTCTACCTAACTATCTCTTTGAATTTAGGCAGAAATGTAAGCACTGGTTGACAAGTGGGGAGGAAGGGTGGAAAGTATGAGCAGAAGTAAGTACCTGTCAGAAATGCAGTTTCAGTGTAGGAAAATTTAAACTTCTGACAAGGTACCTTACTTCCATTCACATACATACCTAGAAACCTACATTGAATAGGTAGAGACCAGTGTGAGAGAGAAAGCAGAAGCATCCTCCAAAAACATCTGAATGACACCCTAACGAGGGGACCTTCTAATAAGAGGATTATACATAGGAGATCACACCACTACTGTAACAGGTATACTCTTCATCTAGATGTGGAAAAGTTGTGACAGATCCAGGCAGAAAATTGTAAGGAGCACATCCCAATGGAGTAGAAAATGGTTGAACAGTGATCCTAACCACAATAAATTATAAGTTCAATCTCCATGATGATCTGAATGTGTGTAAAATAAGGGATGTGCTTCAAAGTGTAGAGTGGCTAGGCATGATGGACCATACATGGCAAATCAACTGTGTTCAAAACTTGACTACTGGGAACCGGCATCCATGCAAGGTTAGGATGAGGATCATACCATTAGTAAGTCAACTACAATCCAAAACTCAACCACCAGAAACCAACATCCATGCAGGGGTAGGAAAGAGGATCATACCATCTTCACCTCAAGTTCAGCTGAACAGAGAGAGAAATCCCACCACAAATCTATAAACAGGGCACATGTGAGAAGAGTGAAATAACATACATATATATCCCACTCAAATCAAACAGACCAGAACCACCTGAAATGCAGTAACATCCTTGGCTTAAAGACATTGAGGGGTAGCACAAGAGGAAGAGCAACCAACCAGTGCACCCACCGTGACTCACAACACTGGGGTAGTGCAACACTGCAAATTGAGTGAGGGACCAGGGGCACCCTGAACATATGTGAGGACTTATGTTAATTGGTTCAGCTCTAAATCTAAAACTCAACTGCTGGGAACCAACAACCATGGGGGGAGGGGGTTCAGGGATCCCCAAATGAAGGGGTGAACTGCATTTATGCTGGCACATTACATGTGTGAGTCCATCACGTCAACTGTTTCAGCTCTAAGTTCAAAACTCAACCACCAGAAACCAACATCCTGTGGGAGTAGGATAAGAGATTCCAATCCCCAGTGGCTTAGAACTGGAAAGTGGCAAGTACTCTCTTACTCCACTGGAAGAGACATGGGGGGAAAATGCAGTCAGTCGGGAAGGATGTTCACACCAGAGACAGTGCAATGGGTGACCAAAAAACCCTATTTTGAAAAGCAGATTAAACCCAATGTATTCCATCTAAGAAATGGCAGGGATGGGCAGTAATTCCCTTCTGCTTTACCCATGAAGTCCAAGGGTTAGTACAGTCTGGAACAGACATATTTTTGAAGCAAAGAGATCACGAGGAATAACTTACAAGTGATCTTGTGGAACACTCCATATCTTGTTTATGTGATTGTAATGAACAGTGTGCATTTTGTGGCCATGAAAATTATGAAAGTGAGGTCAACATGACCTTACAGTGTGGGTTTTAGTATAATTCTAAGTGAATGAAGTACACTAGAACAGGCATCACTCACCACAGAGCAGGATCCTGTTCAAGACTTGGGACAGGCCCCTGAAAACTAATATATATATAACAAAAGAAAGAAACTTACCCAGCTACAATCTCACCAAAGAATGAAAGATGGTGACAGGTAGAAGAAAGTACCCCAACGAGGAACAAACAGCTACCCAAAACAGATAATGGGAGATGAACGTACAAGTTGTAGTCCCAAAGTTCAACAAACTAAGTACCTCCAACAAATGACGAGTTTGAGATGCAGGTAAAAGGTAAGGTGCCTGAACAAAGTGAAGACACCAGGAATTTATTACGGGAAGAAGAAGACAAGTAATAAAAGGCCAATCGAATTCCAAGCCAAACCCAATGGGTTAGGGAGGAAGGGAAAAATATCATGAACAGAGGAATTGTGCAAGGGAATGAAACTGTGGGAAATGGAGTCAACAAAAAGAAGCCTTGAAAGCAATGAAACAACCCACAGCATAAACAAGATAGAGAAGGTCATGGATCCAACCAAGAATAAAGGTGGAAGATAGCAAGAAATTAAAATGATGAAAAGAATATTCCACATATGCCCCCAAAGTGTAGGTTAGTAAAATCATTCCAGACCATATTGAGCTAAAACAGCTGAGAAAACCAGATCTGTGCAGCCAGGAAAGACCTGACCAGAGTGGCGTGGATGAAAAATTCATCTTGGAAAGAAAACTAATGGAATGAAAAAAACTAAAGTTATAAACTAGATCTAATCCTATCTAAATGTATCAACATCCAGGGTGAGTGGATGATGAACCAGAGACCAACAACAAATGAGGTAAATGGAATCGAGAAAAAGAGTCAAATGATTCCCATGGAAGAGTACCCCACAGGATAGTGTATTAGGACTGGAAAGGCAATCTGCAATGAGGACAAAAGCACCTGGAACACGACACACCAGGAGATGTATGTCAATTGTGCGGGTTCAAAAAGCGGGATCCACTGTCTACCACACAGGGAGCAAGAATGAGTGCCCCTTTAGCTTGTGATATAAGCCACCACCATCAAATAGTTGGAATGAAACATGATTAGTCAAATCCAGACAAAAAGAAGAAAGTGAACTAAAGCACCTTGGGCTGCTGGAAGTGCCAAGTTGTTAACATGATAAGACCATTCATCCACAGACTGTTGTCCTGAAGCCTCCTGCTGATCAACCCACACACACACCCAACTTTAAAGATGAGCATCAGGGAAGAGAAACAAATCTGGACGAGGGAGGGAGGAATCAGAAAACCCAACAATGTGGGGGATATGTTCAACTACCAATGCATATAGTCAAAGAGGGAAAGAAGAAAATTAAGAGGAGAATCCAAAGGAACTCTAGCAAGAGACCATGGGTTGTGCAGCATCTCCTGAAAAGATTACAAGTGTGCCAGACCCAAAGAAGCCACAGCCCCCATTGTGCTAGAGCCTCACTAGCAGTAGGATAGTGAACTGTAATAGCATGGATAACAGAAAGCTCCATCAAATGCAATCGAGAAGAAGAATGGATGGTCCTGACAGAGGTGGATGTTTAAAAAGATACTCCGTAAGTAGCCAAGATGGTGAGGTAGGTAATAGGAAAACTTATGCAACTGGAAAATACAACCATCCGAGCTACTTTTGTAAGAAGCATATGAGTATGTTATGACCAACCCTGTTCAGAAGGAGCAAACCAAAGTCAGACATCCAAGTAGAAGTGTTAGTAAAATCCCCCAAATGTGCAAGTAGGATAAAATGCAGACCCCCTGACAAAAGACATACAGAACTGAAACAAGGGCAATGCACGAAACTTCTACCGAATCATGTGGTAAAATAAACTAAGATAGCAATTCAAACATATGAAAAATAAGAATGTGTACCATAGGTACTTACAGTACTGC